TTACATAAATATTTTTATATACTTATGTTCAGTTATATAAAACAGTTTGGAAGTGTTTTTATGTTTTATACGCATTTTTGTCTGTAATTTAAAACTAAATGTGAAAGATTTATATTATTAAATAACTAAATATTGATCAAAATTTTTTACATTAAGTATATATATATATAGCTTACAAAAATATTACTCAAACACATAATCAATACAAAAGTATGACAAATATATGCAGAATTTTGTACAAGTGAAAATATGAAGTATTGAGTAGTAAAGCACACTATTTTTATAAGTGGCAAAATTATTTACAATTAATTGTTTTTACTTTTTTTATATCTGTTACTTTACTGTATACTAATAATTTACATTGCAATCCACAATATACGCTTGCGGTACTCTGTGCGTCGAATATAGTGACGATTGACAATAACAGTTTTTTTCGTCATACATCTCAGGTCATAGTTCTCAATCTCTGACAGTTGTACTATATGATCGTTTAGTTTATTTAATCTAATACCGATGTATCTGTAATATTAAAACAGAAGTTTAAGAACTGCCGAGTTTTCTGCACTTATATGACAAAGAAATAAACAGATAATAATTGCAGTAAATATATTTGAAAATTTATGTGTGTATCGTACAATAGCAGTGCGTTTCATACTAGCTTGCAAAGTCGCAATATGTCATAATATGTTTACATATTTATTATTTAATTTGAGTGTATAATTAATGATATTATTTTATGTATTGCAAAATGGATTTTTTATTTAAAATATAAAGTATCTTGTACTGATTTTACAAACACTCACATACAAACAATAACCTTAAAATAGACACAGTCATGAAGTCTAGTACAGTATTGACATGTATAGGATAATGTATAATCCAAAAAGCTATTATAGCTTGAAAATTTGCGAAAAAGTTTAGATATAAGCTTATTACTTTATCAACAATATTTAGTATACATGTTAGCATAACCCATACAATCAATGACCACTTTATCTCTTTTCTCATTGTAATGAAGTCTTTAGATATACCAATTTTTTCGAATGTATCATTTACAAGATCTAATTTTTTAATACACACCAATTGTTCCTAAAAATTAAATAACTAGTAAAGCACAAAAGTATGATTAAAATGTAAATTTATACATTACATTTCTTAAAACTTTATATTTTTATGGCAAAAATATGTAAAAAATGAAAGAAATCGTATAGTGGAATATTTTATTATATTTATCGTAGTAAACAATAATGTAATGTAATAATTAAACTGTACCTCGTATTTGTAAAAAGTGATAAAAACAGATATTATCCACAGGAACATATTTATTCCTAGCATAAAGAAGTTTACACATTGAAAAAGTGAGTTTAACTTTACCATTTTATGTATCCATCTATTATTATATAAATTCCAAGCATAAACACTCCATATTAAAACAATATAAACAATACTTAAACACCGTCTGGGATAACTTTTCGGATGTTTGTAAATTCCACAACCCATGAAAAAAGCTAGTATAATATAAGGAAACATAATTCTTTCCATAGTGTACTCCATGATCGCAACACTTGCAGTTCGCTATGCTAACTAGTAAGTCTTAACTTCGTAGTCGATGAATGTGTTGTCATAGAATTATCACATACATTACGGTGATGGCACTTAAGTAGATTATTACATTAACAGTATTGAATCAAGAAGTATTACTATTAGCTTTCTCTGAAATAAAAAAATTGATTATATCTAGTGTAAAAGAAATAAAAAAAGATAGATTGATACCTTTATCAATTAGAATATGATGTATAAATATGCAAATGGGAGTTTCTGTAAAATAAATATATATAATTTAGTAAATTGAAGAAATGAAAAAAACTAACAATTTTATAGTAATGTTATAAAATTCGATTAAAATCTTATTGCACCTGTTCCGAAGCATCGTAAAATTTCTATGAATAAAATAGTAAGAGGTACTTATAAAAGCAAGATATACCACATGTTTAAAATAAAAAACAAAACTTGCGGGCGTTTGATAGTATATGAACTAGTATGTTTTAATACATTATAAACAACTTTTTTATTAAGATACGTAGAATAAAAAGCAATAATGATATTTTGTAAATGTGACGTAATAATTTAGAATTTAAAGAAAAGACAAATAGCTCCATAGATTTAAAAATCAAGATTAGAGGCAGTTGAAGCAAGACACGGATGTTGTTGTGCAAACACGTGAAGGTGATTTTTATTTTAAGATGTAATGTGTATGTATAATGTGATAACGTTTCGACCATCGGTTTAGGTCTTTATCAAAATCTTTCTACAAATTCAATATAAAAACAATAGATTTCAAAGAACAAAAATAATTTTAAATACAAAATACGCATTGTAAAATTGATATGTAAACTAAAAGTTACAACATCATCTTAAAATATCCTGTGTTTGCAAAATGTAATACGTATCAATAATATTGATAAAAACAAATGTATTTCTATCTTACAATACTCTAACAATACTTTTCATACTAGCTTGCAAAATCGCAATATGTTTTAATATGATTATATATTTATCATTCAAACATATAGGTTATAATTGATAATACGTAGTTTATGTAATGCAGTATTGTTTTCTTATTTAAAATATAAAGTATCTTGTACTGATGTTACATTCACACACATACAAACAATAACCTTAAAATAGACACAGTCATGAAGTCTAGTACAGTATTGACATGTATAGGATACTGTACAATTTAAATAGCTATTATATCTAGAAGATTTGCGAACAAGTTCAGATATAAGGCTATTACATTATCGACAATATTTATTATACATGTTAGTATAAACCATACAATCAATGTCCACTTTATCTCTTTCCTCATTCTATTGAATTCTTTAGATATACCGATTTTTTCTAATGTATCATTTACAAGATCTAATTTTTTAATACACACTTACTGTTCCTAAAAATAAAATAACTATTAAAGCACAAAAGTATGACTAAAATGTACATTTATACATTACATTTCTTAAATATATATATATAAATTCCAAGCATACACACTCCACACTAGAACAATATAAACAATACTTAAACATCGTCTGGGATAACTTCTCGGATGTTTGGAAATTCCACAACTCATGATAAAAGCGATTATAAAATAAGGAAAAATAACTCTTTCCATTGTGTACTTCATGATCGCAACACTTGCAATTCGCTATGCTAACTACTAGGTCTTAACTTTGTAGTCGATGAATGTGTTGTCATATAATTATCACTTTCAACACTGTTGGGAACTTGCTTGTGCCGTTCAATATGTGCGATAAATTGTCACTTGAATATTCGATCGATAGCGCTGTCGATAATATATAAGATGTAAACATCTACAGAGGGCGAGGCATTCGAGCAAAAACCGTATAACCGATCACATATTTCTAACCGCGAAGTCTTGTTTGTTGTAATGTTAATTGAGTTGAATTAAAGGGTATTGATTGCAAGGTTCAGAATCGATTCATTTATTAAGCCCGTACAAATATATAAAAATGATTTTACGTAAAATAAATATATGCATATAGTTTAATAAATAAAAAAAGTAAGTAGAACTAACAATTTTGTATTAATGTAATAAAGAATGCGATCAACATCTCTCTGCAAATAGTTCAAAGCATCGTTATATCTTTATTTTATGTTAAATGAAGGAGAAAGAGATAACGATGAGTCGAAACAGTTGTACTAAGACTGTGATCGCACTTATAATTTTGTAGTATGTGATGAGATTTAAATAATATCTTTACATATTTATATGTTATTTATATGTTATATGGCCATATCTACCGTAGTGTTAATTTTAACGAACTTTTTAATACTGATAAATTTGAGTTGTTTTTTTATATGTACAAGATATATTTTGTTTCGTATACTTTCTAGTAATATTTATATATAAAAACGGAAAACCCTTCACCCTCCCTAGAAAAAATACAAGTTGACCTAAATCAGGTAAACTTTGCGCTGCCACTATTATACTGACATGATGCACATGATTTGTAATAAACGTTAGAAAAAAAAAAGATTCTTAATGTATAGATGCACCATACAATGTCACATCCATTTGTACTAATGATATATATTATCCAAACAATTATTAACAATAACAATTATTTGTTATATATATATATGTGGTGTTTGTCACATTTTATATTTGAAATGACTAGTTTTGTCAACGTATTGTCTACAGCTGCAAGTGTCTTCATAAATATCTGCAATCTCTAAACAACATTCACTTATACAGATTTCTGCTTTATAAGAAAACAAATTATTACTACAAAGTATGCAAACAACAATATTTACAGACAAATACGACATACGTGTATCTTGTTTTGATATGCACTAAAATTAACGGATGTTATATATCTAAAAACGTCAACAAACGTTAGTTAAAAAAAAAATCCTGAATAAAACAGTTCTGCCTTAAATCACTGTATAATAAAAGAATCACTGTATAATAAAAGAAGCAAACGTAAATAATCCACATTCTTAATCTATGGCAATTGTCATAGTTACCACTTTCTCTCAGTTTCTACCGTAAACTGATATTGTATGTTTTGACTTGAACTGACAACATAGAACGTATTTCTTAAAAGGCTAACCTAACAGTTAGAATAATGCTTTGACGCATTATGCATCACTTAATTTCTCCGCAAACATATGCAATGACAGTCGGTCGAAATCGCTAGACGGTATTAAAAGCGATGATAATATAAAGTGCGACTTCTTGCTTATAGAGAACCATTACAGAAAATATGATATACAGTCGACATAAAAGCTACGTTACTATAGCATGACTGGAATACGACAACATACTGTCAGTACAGCAATGATCTACGATTAATATATATTTGTATATATGTGTCTCATTTTTACAACAAAAGTAAAAAAATTATATACCCTTAAACGTACGAAAGTAGTAGTAGTAAAGAAAAGAAATACAAAAATGTTTAAAAAGCGTTTTTTACTTATTGAAAACACATTTCCACATTTATTTTAGAAAATGTGTTTACTACAAAAGTGTCCACTTGCACCAGTAGAAGAACAATAGTAAAAACCCAGACAGCAAACTGAAAGCAAATGTTACGTAAATAGTATTTTCTACTGTTTTTGAGAAGTGAAAGAAAAAGAAAAGAAAGAAAAAAAACACACATTTCTTGATTTTTTTGTTTATTGCGATAAATATTATTAATAACTAACCGAACGGATAAACGTATATCCAAAATAAAATAAGCCCAATCCGGTAAACTTCAGTGGATGAAGCGATATTTGTAGACCAAACTGATAAATCTGTATTATACACATAATGTGTTACAGAAATCGAAAGATATTCACGACAATGTATATAAAAAAGATTGTGTTCAATTTATATTACCTCATCATACGCATCTGCAAAACGAATAAGATTTGTCAATTTATGAATTACAATTTTGGTTCTTTCTGCCTAAAAGCAAAAATTAAGGTTTTAGAAAGAAATTTTTTTATAATATTATTTTATATGTTATACACAAAGTTATATTACCTTGGCACTAACACTTTCACAGATGTGATTTATGGTTAGGAGTTTAATTAAAAGCAAGATGGTCCATAAAATGCTAGAAATTAGAAAGTACCATTTTATTAATCCAGTCTCGTGGCTCAAACATACCAGTACATGATATTGTAAGAAAACATATTTCGTAAACGTAACAAAATAAGATGCCATCTGTATTGTCATTCTCACTCCGTTTAAAGCGTTAATATTGCGAGCCACATGGCAAAGTTCCAAATGAAGATGCCTACAGAAGAACGACAAATTTGACATACATATTTTTATATATTTATGTTTATTTATAGAAAACAGTAAAAAAGAATGTGGTTTTATGTTTTATCTTTGTCTTTTAGTTGAAAATAAATGAGAGATTTACTTTGATACAAAAACAGTTTCATATTATTTATCAAAATTTTGCACTAAAATAGTAATTTGCAATTGTACAGATATAGTTTCGGAAATAGATGTACAAATTGTGATCTTTTATAAACCCTTTGTAGTTTTTTGCAAAATTACTTGGCAAATACTATTTCGGAAAAAAATAACGATATGACGAATCATCTTAGCAGTATATGTGCAAAAGTACTTTTACAAAGAAATCGTTCAATAACTGAGAAAAACATTTCATCTATGTAATGTTTAAAATATGTAGAAATAATTGCACATTTGAAGAAATCAACTTAATTCATATATATACTTATGGAAATGCATAACGACTTTAGTCGCAATTTGTGACAAATATTATTTACAAAATTTTATGTTGACAAAACTGTTGCGTTATGGCGAATCATCTTAGTGCAATTATAGCAGGATCGTCGTTATTCATAATGCTATTTTTGTGCAATATTGTCACAATGTGCATATTAGGGTATATTATTAAATAACTAATTATCGATCGACATTCTTTACATTATGTAGCTTACTAGAATATTACTCAAATATACAATCAAAACCAAAGTATTACAAATGCAGAACTTTGTACAAGAGTGGAAATATGTGTAACTCTATTGAGTAGTACGAACACACTAGTTTTAAATGATAAAATTGTTGTTCACAAATAAGTTGTTTTACTTTCTTTATATCTGTATACTTGAATCTACTTTAATTATATCTGTATACTTTATATCTGTTACTTTAACATATATTAATAATTTACATTGCAATCCACAACATACGCTTGCGGTACTCTGTGCGTCGAATATAGCGACGATTGACACTAATAGATGTTTTCGACATACATCTCAGGTCATAGTTCTCAATCTCCGACAGTTGTACTATATGGTCGTTTATTTTATCCAACCTACCACCAATATATCTGTAATAGTAAACCAAAAGTTTAAAAACTGTCATGTTTTATGTACTTATATGACAAAGAAATGAACAGATAATAATTGTAGTGCACATACGTAGTTGAAAGTCAGTGTATTATCGGGCAACACAAGTACGTTTTATATTAGCTTGCAAAAGCGCAATATGTTATAATATGTTTATGTATTTGTCGTATTATCATAGGTTAAAATTACTAAGACGTATTTTATGTAACACAAAATTATTTTTGTCATGTACTGATTTTACACACACACACACATACTAACACTAACCTTAAAATAGACACAGTTATGAAGTCTAGTACAGTAGTTACATGTGTAGGATACTGCGCAACCAAAAAGCTTACTAAATCTTGAAAGTTTACTATATACTTCATATAGAAGCTCATTAAAACATCAAAACTATTTATTATACATAATAGCATAAACCATATAATCAGTGACCATTTCATTTCTTTTCGCATTCTAATAAATTCGTTGGATATTCCAATTTTTTCTAATGTATCATTTACCAGATCTAATTTTTTAATACACATCCACTGTTCCTGAAAATAAAACCATTAAAACACAAAACTATGACTAAAATGTAATATTATACATTACATTTCTTACAACTTTAGTTTTTCTCTTTATAAATATATGTAAAAAACCAAAGAAATTTTAACCTGGGATATTTTATTATATTTATTATATTTAACATTAATGTAATGTAACATTTATAGTGTACCTCGTATTTATAAAAAGTTATAAATACAGATATCATCCACACAAACAAATTTATTACTATTATAAATGACTTTAAGAATTGAACTAGCAAGTTGAACTTTTTACGTAGCAATTTATTGTATAAACTCCAAGCATAAACACTCCATATTAAAAAAATATAAACAATACTTAAAAACCGTCTGGGATAACTACTCGGATGTTTGTAAATCCCACAACCCATTAAAAAAGCGATTATAGAATAAGGAAATATAACTTTTTCTACGGTGTACTTCATGATCACAACACTTGCAACTCGCTATGCTAACTACTAAAGTTTAACATGTTAGTCGATGAATATGGTGTCATATAATTATCACATTCATCACGGTGATAGCACTTAAGTAGATTTTCACATTAACAGTATTAAATCAGTAAGTATTACTACAGGCTTTCTCTGAAATGAGAAAATTGATCGTATAAAGTGTAAAAGAAAGAGAGAGAGAAAGATTGATACATATATCAATTAGAATATGGTGTATAAATATGTAAATGTGATTTTCTTTAAAATAATATATATATAGTTTACTAAATAAAGAAAGTTAGAAGAACTAAAAATTGTATAATAATGTAATATAAAATGCTTTTAAATCCTTATTGCAATTATTCCGAAGCATCGTTCTTTCTTCTTTTTTTGTTAAATGTAGAATAAAAATACGAGGATGCTTTTAAACATTTGTACTAAGACTTTGACGGCACCCATAATTATGTAATGTGTGATATGATTAAAATAATACATTTATATAGATATATGTTATTTCTATGGTGTATACGTAAATACAGAAGAACGTCTTTATTGTAAACACAGTGTTTTGTTACAATCTTTCTCTTATCGACTTCGGTAAACTCGCACTTGTAAACTCTTCTTTTCTTGTGTTTTCACTTCTCCTTTGTTATTACAAGCGCTCTTTGATTATACATGAGCAGCATGAAAAGTTTGCTTCTTGGTTTTATATCGAAGAGTAAAAATAAAAATAAATGATAGCAATAAGAAATATTGTTAAAAAATTGCGGTTTGACAATTGTAAGAATGGAAAAAGTCGGCTGTATATTTTATTTTATATATCTTAATTGATAGAAAAGTAGTGAAATCTAACTACATATACGAAGCTAAATTGATATTGTACGAATTTCATAATACAATTATTTTCTAGGAAAAACACGGTGACACATTTGTTTCAGATAAACTTTCTTGTATAGAAATCGTGTCCGCTTGCATTATTAAAAAAAAAACAGTAAACATTCAGACAATAAAGTGAAAGAAAATGTTCTAAATATTT